CTCTCATTTGAAAACATGAAATATAGTTGGATGAAAATGTAATTTTACTATAGGTGCACCCCTCATATGTGGTGGATAAACAGCGATTTCCTTCAAATTTCTTTTAAAGCCCGTTAATGCAGTAAAATACAGACCTAAATGCACAACTTAAACAGGGTTTTGTTCTTTTGGTAAAAAAAATATTTTTTCATGGTAAGGTTGACATTTGCATGGAATTGCTCATATAGGCAATTTGTTGATTCTATGGTCCCAAGAAAGTTCACTGGAGTTCAATATTAGTAAGACTAAAGAGTTGCGTTGTGGGAGGTTTCGTTCGTTTAAAGGGGTGGTCAACCAGCTATTTTCAAAGGCTTGATTGTGTTTATGGGGTGCACTGTAACATGTGTCCAGGCTTCGTTTAAAAAAAAATAAAAATTCACATATTTTACCTTTATTCTACACTGCTTTTTCCGTTCTCCTAAAATGGTCAGTTGACTTCCTGGTTCTATGAAGCCCCTCCCTCAGAAATACTCAATGGGCTCAGATTGGTTAGCTGGCCCAGTGTGTTGTGATTCACTAACCACCTAGTGCACGTTGTACAGAAACATCATGCCCCGTACCATAACGGGGAGTTGCATGTGCTCCGGGGGATTGTCAACAATCGTGTCAATATTACCTTATCAATTTGAGCCCGAATCAGACCCAAAGCTTCATACGTGCACAAAATATCCATGCTTTTCATATAATCGTTCTAACAAATTATACTACAGTCCTGGAAGAGATGATTTGATTACAGACTGTGGATCTACAGTGATCGCTACTTACTGTATAGCACTATTAGTTTTGTCTTGTGTAGCCAAATATCTGTTGGCAGAACTACGAGCCCATTACAAAGACTAACCATGGCATTGGATGAACCTATCAGGCTAGATGAAATAATTACTTGTATTGGTCTCTTGCGGTGTAACAAGGCTCCAGGGCCCGATGGTTTCCCTTTAGACTTTTATATAAGATTATCTACACAAGTAGCCCCCTTACTGTTCGATATGTTTAATTAGTAATTTCAACAAGGCTGTCTTCCAGTCTCGTTTAAATCAAGCATCTATCTCCCTTCTCTTAAAAAACAAAAAAACAAAGACCCCACTTTATGTAGTAGTTACAGGCCCATTAGTTTATTGAATGCTGATATAAAAATTTTAGCAAAGGTGTTGGCAAGGCGCATGGATTCATGTCTGCCTGATATCATATCTGATGACCAAACTGGGTTTATTAGGGGACATCAGATGTCATCTAATATTCGACGTTTGCTAGATATAATGTTTGACCCATTTACTTCGGTAGCTCCTGAAATGATTATATCCCTCGACGCTGAAAAAGCATTTGACCACGTAGAATGGAATTATTTCTTTAATGTTTTAGGAAAATTTGGCTTCGGGCACAATTTGATTTCATGGATTCGTCTTTTATACTCTGCTCCCTCCGCAAGTGTTAAAACTAATTTAGACAGTTCTTCTTTCTTTTCTCTTTCTCGGGGGACAAGGCAGGGATGCCCTCTGTCCCCTCTTCTTTTTGCTTTGGCAATTGAGCCGCTTTCTGCTGCCTTAAAATCTTCCTCATTAATATCCGGCATCCACAGGGGAGGCGCTGAACATTTAGTCTCTTTATACGCAGATGATTTGTTGCTATATCTTCAGGATCCTGTAGGCTGTGCTGATGAGGTTATGCACCTGCTTGACACCTTTGGCTCTTTTTCTGCTTACAAACTGAATTTTACAAAAAGTGAATGTTTCCCCTTAAATGACGCAGCTAGGAAAATACCTAAAAGTGCCCTACCCTTTCATTTTTCTTCTACTGGGTTTCGTTATTTAGGGGTAAATATTTCTCATTCTTTTAGTTCTATATTTAAGAATAATTTCACCAATTTGGTTGAACAAATTAAACTTGATTTAAAACGTTGGGACAGCCTACCTCTCTGTCTGGTAGGGAGAGTGGAGACTATTAAAATGAATGTTCTTCCACGTCTTTTATTCCTCTTTCAATCTCTCTATTTTTCTACCTAAATCTTTTTTTAACTGTCTTGATAAAACAATTTCCTCTTTTATTTGGGCATGTAAGACTCCCAAAGTAAGCAAAGTTATTCTTCAGCGCCGTAAATGTGATGGTGGTTTAGCCCTGCCAAATTTTCTATTTTATTACTGGTCCACTAATATTTCCAGGATTTCATTATGGTGTAATGCTCCAGAGTCTAACTGGTGTACACTAGAAGCTGCTACTTGTA